GATTTTCTCAATAAGCACTGCTTCTCGCGAAATGGATAGGATTCTTTTGGGCGCGACTAGATTATTGTTCGTCCGATTCCATGCATTTCGCGTTTGGAATCTGCACCTTAGGTTAAAAAGGGTGGGGAAAATTGCTCATCTCTGCACCGATGGATCCTCTTCACGATTACCTGCTGAAGAGGTATGTAATTCACAACTGTTGATCCAATTAGGTTTTCTTCATTTTCCTCTTAGTCATTTACGAAACAAAAAACGTAGGTTGGGGATGAATTTGCAAAAGATTACTATACCGTCTTGGAATATTATCCGCAGCATCTCCGTGCGTTTTATCAAGATTCTAGTAAGATTGGACGGACTAGAAACGATGTAATGCGTTTAAACACCTTATCGGTAAAAATCATACCTTTTTTCCCTTGATTGACTCAAATCCTATTTGGTGAAAATCTCTCTTTTTGCTGATTGATTCCTATTCTTGGAGCAGAATATAGATGATGAGAATCTTAATGGAGGTTCTGGTTCGGTGGAGGTAACCAGTATCATTTCCCGAGACTGTCAAGATGGTGTTGTCTTGGTTGTTGTCTGTGGCTACTCCACTCAAAAAGAGACACTTGAAATGATGAAGAACTTCACCCAAGTTTTCTTTCTTGCTCCCCAAGAACCCGAGGGCTACTTTGTTTTGATTGACATTCTCCAATTTGATGACCAGACGATTGTTTCTGCTAGTAATAATGGTGTGTTAGCAAAGCAATCAGTTCAATTATAAAAGCAGCCTGCATATTTTGCTCCCGAGGGAATATCTAAGACCTTGGTTTAATGGGGATTGAATCAGTCGTAGAGGAGAGAGTTCCAGAAATGGAGGTCACTCGCAAAGAAGTTGCAGAAGTTCCAGAGACGCAGGTCACTCGCAATGAAGTTGTAGAAGTTCCAAAAACGGAGGTCCCTCTCAAAGAAGTTGGAGGTGGTTTACTGGCAGTTTCTGAACCAAATGATGGACTTGAAGATGTGTCTAAGATATCTGATGCCTCTGCTGTAAGTGGACACTCAAAGATCTAAATAACTAGCTTCTGGACTTGGAAACTGATACGTAATAATGTTAATTAACGTGAAGGATGTGAAGTTAATACAAGAAGGTCAACATCCGTCTTGTGATCCTAATGAAGATACTGGAAATGGGAACAATCAAGAGTCTCAAGGTAGGAAAAATCGTAAAATATTTTTGATTCTCTCTTCTTCTTTTTTTTTTGTCCTTTTATTATCCACTCTATTTGAATTTGTTTGTCTATTTTTCAGTGTTGATTGAGGGTGTAACAGTTCATGTTGGAAATCTTCCTCCAAATGACACAGCTGCCGAGGTTGAGAATGCATTTAAGACACAACTCTTGGGACTTGGACCATTGTTAGAATGATTTTAATAATGCTGGCATGGATCTTTTCAGGCGTCCCCTGTGATGATTGATGGCCGAAAAGTTCCCGTGGCGAAGGCGCGAGGTGATTTTTAGTATTGACTGAAACGCAAAGGAAACCTTTGCACTCTTTGTCGATTTTCTCTACAAGTAGCTATTGCTTTGTGAGATTGTATTGTTTCAAGGTCAACATCCGTCTTCTGATCCTTCTCCAGAGAAAAAAGCTGGAACTGGAAATGGAAACAATCACGAGGATCAAGGTAGGAAATTCGTAAATATTTTTGATATCAATTTTTGCGCTCCCTTTAACCTTTTGTTTGTTTATTTATCAGCGGTAACTGAGGATGCGGGAATTTGTGTTAAAAATCTTCCTCCAGATGCAACCATTGCATCTGTTCAAAAGGAATTTGAGCAGTTTGGAGCAATTAGAAGAGATGGAATTCGAGTTATAAACAGATTGGTATTTTTGACTAATCCAGGCATTTTTCGAACCCTTTTTGCATAAGGTAAACAAAGACTAATTTGTGTACTTGTATCAAATGGGTAGGCCTATTCTTTTGCTTTTATCGACTTTGAGGAAGAAAATGCCGCCCGGATAGCAATGGAGGTACACGTGGACCCTTGTTTAACACGTGGTCTGACTAGCTATAGCGTTTCAGTTTCATCTTTGAAGCCACAATCACATAACTGTTTGATCGGTCTTGATAATGTTGGCATCAATCTTATTCAGGCGTCCCCTATTATTGTTCTTGGGCGAAGATTTTTTGTGCAGAAGAACCGACGAGCCCATAGAAGTAAGTGTGCAGGGGTTAGAAGTAGCAACACTCATCATTGTTTTGTCTCTGAAACCGTTATGCCGAAGTGAGTGGTCAATGAACTGTGCTGAAGGCTCAAATTATATTTTGGTTTGAGAATCAGGTTACTGGAATAGTCAATCCTCTGGACAAGGAAATATGCACATACGCCAGGAAATGAGAGGAACAGAAGTTTATCACATACGCAAGGACTGGCAGAAGTCAAACGAGGAACAAAGTAAGCGTCAGGATGAAGAGAGAGGAACAGGAATTGATCATTCTCGGAACTATGAGCAGGCAGTGGAGGAACATGGAAAGATTCAGGGGGAACAGATGAAGCTTCAGGAGGAAGCTGCGGTAAATTTTCATTTCCTGTTGTCATCTATAATGTCCTGTGATTGTAAACTGTCTATGAAAACGAAAATGCTGCCTTGAATCTTATTCAGGCGTCCCCTGTGGAGATTGATGGGCGATTGGTTCCCGTGGAGAAGGCGAGAGGTCCTGTTCAGAAAGCGTCTTTAGCGTATGATTGTTAGTATTGACTGAAATGCCAAGGCAACCTTTGCACTCTTTGTCGATTTTCTCTACAAGTAGCTATTTCTTTTCGAGATTATATTGTTTCATAGCTGCTTCTTGCGAAACGGGTATGATTCTTTGTGTTTTAGGTAGTTTCTTTTTTTGTGCGACTAGATTCTGTTCACCAGATTCATTGATTTTCCGTTTGAAATTTGATCGTTAGATTCAAGGGAGCATTGCTTAATCTCCAAATCAATTGATCCTCATCCACGACCATCTGCTAAAGAGGTATATAGTTCAACAATTGTATGATCCATCGGACTTTCTACATTTCCTGCTGTCATCTATAATGTTCTGTGATTATAAACTGTTATGAAAATGAAAACGTAGGTGGGAGATGCATTTGCAGGGTCCTACTATGATCGCTTGCAAAATTTACCGCAGCTTCTATACAAGAGTTATGCAGTTAACAGTACGATTACACGGCCTGGACAGGGTGGAGTGATGCACAACTTCACCTTATGGGTAATAAACTTTTCTTGATTGACTGATTGCATCTGGCTTGTGACTGAAAGAAACCGGACTGGTTGTTTTTAGGTTACTTTGGGGAATTTTGTTTTTTTCCTTTTTCTGATTGATTCCGATTCTTGGAGCAGGGTATAAATAAGGAACTTGATATGCTACATTCTGGAGGTTTTGATTCCGCTGAGGTAACCAGTATCACTTCCGAAGACTCTCAAGTTGGTGGTGTCTTCGTTGGTGTCAGAGGCGTCTTCGTTGTTGTCAGAGGCTACTTCACTTTAAACAAGAGATATAAAAGGAACTTCACCCAAATTTTCTTTCTTGCTCCCTTCGAATACCGCTACTTTGCTTTCACCGACTCCTTCAACTTTGAGACAGATGTTATTGACCTTGGGGACTGGCAGAAGTCAAAGGAGGAACAAAGTAAGCTTCAGGAGGAAAGAGGAACAGGAGTTTATCATCCTCCGTACTATGAGCAGCTAAGTGAGGAACATAGAAAGATTCAGGAGGAAAAGATGAAGCTTCAGGAAGAAAAGGTGAAGCTGCAGGAAGAAAAGACGAAGTTTCAAGAGGAAAAGATGAAGCTTCAGGAGGAAAGGATGAAGCTTCAGGAGGAAAAGATTCAGGAAGAAAAGACGAAGTTTCAGGAGGAAAAGATGAAGCTTGAGGAAGAAACGATGAAGTTTCAGGAGGAAACAATGAAGCTTCAGGAAGAAAAGAGGAAGCTTCAGGAGGAACAGAGGAAGCTTAAGGAAGAATAAGAGAATCAAAACTGAACTTGACTAGTTATGTTGATAGAGGCTGGAATTTACATGCATATACGGGTGTTTAGTGATAGAATCTTACCAACTGATTGTTCTGTGAATAGGCTAAAAACAAGAGAGGTTTTGGTTCCTGTAGTGGCAAAAGTGGTTAGATATATTTGGAATCTCTTAAATGAATGAAATCTCTGTGAAGCTTTTACTTTGTGTCTTTGTGTATTGGACTCTAAGAAACTGGCTATGAACAAACAGATAAACAACCACACAAAAAAAGAAGAAGAGCAATTGCAAAGGAAAGAAAACTTAGAATGATAACAGGAATGTTACATGAACAAGCATGCGTGATTTTGGATTTATCCTTATAGTCACAAAGCATACACTTTCTTCATATGAATGAATTGAAGACATTTGATGACAACATTAAGTTTTCAGATGAAATCAGCTCCTCGAGAGACTAACTTCTTCAACATATCAATAAGATGATCAAAGTCGTCTTGTGATCTGATGAGACTCAATCTCACAAACCTTTCCTCTGATCCAAAAACTTTGCCACTGCGACCTGTTATCTTCGCCGCTCTGAAAATCTCATAGCAGTTTGTATCTTCTACTCTCTCACACTTCACCCACGCATAAGCTTTCCAAATGAAATCAAACAAGTTATACACTTCAAAAAAACAGAACAAAAAGTATCAGCTTTCTTGCACTAGAAGAAATAACTTACAAGGAGTGAAGTCTCTGACTTTCTTGAAATAGTTGCAGTACTCAGGTTTGGTTGTCTGCAACGAGAAACGATTGGACATTGAGAAGATCTTGTTCAGTGTATCCCATCTTTTCTTCAAAGTTTCATAACCAAAACTGAATATCTCATCGCCTCCATCGCTAACTACTACTTTGAGCAATTCAAGAACTTGAAGCTGTGTTACCCGAGAAACTCCCATACTACTTAAAGTTACATATCTTTTCATCTTTTCATAAACAGACAGATTTGTCCTTTACCAATCCCCATCTGCAACGATAAAAATAAAAACACTTGTTGGTTGTTTTTGTGACTAATCCAAATCTCTTTCATACATTGTTTTACTTTCTTGTTTACCCGAATCTTGAGCCAGCATGACCTGTAGTCTTGGAGAGACTGAACAAGCTCAAATCTTCATCAGCTGGAACAGTTATAGGCGAGAAATAAGGCCAATAGTAGGCGTAATCATGAACTGTTTTGACATTAGGACCTTGAAGAACCGCTCTTTTCAACATCCCATCTGGATTATTCGGAGATGTCACCACCTCTATAACTTGTGTGACATTATCACTGTCCTCGCTCTTCTTCCACGCAAACGCATCTCCTTCAAACTTGAGATGTGCTGAATCAAAGAACTCCGCTTGCTCCTTGTACATCTTCACACAAACAGAGTGATCAGACCCACCAATAAGTTTGTTTACATAAAGCCAAGAATAGAGCTTTGCTTACAGCGTAAAACGGAACAGAAGCTAAAAGTCTTGCAGGTGGTGATGATGATTCTATAAAAGACAAGGCATGAACAGCTGCTGCAAGCAATTGTGTGGATCCACTTCCAAAGATTACGAATCTGTTCTCTGTAATAGCGTTTCCCACTACACCATGCAGCTTCCTAATGACCTTCTCGAGTTCTTTAGACACAGATGTCCCATCTTGATAGATATAACTCATCCTATGCCATCCCGAGACCAAAACCGCACTTCTCTCTGCTTGTCGCATCCAGAAAGGCTCCAAGAACAAAGGGTCTCCACTTCAAAATCCATAAAAACATAATTAAAAAAGTTTATAGAGTGGTTTGGTCTTAATGATCAAAAAGGGAGAGATTAAAAAGTTGATGCATACGAGTTAGCATCGACAGGACAATCTTGGAGAAGAAGGGAACAATCATTTCCTGTGTAGCAGTTGTTGCACTCACATGGAGGTTTATTGCCGTCAAGAGAACCAAGACCATCCACGTAAGCTCTGCCATGGCCTGAGCATGAAACAGAGGCTGCAGTTTCTGCTTCCACGGTGGCTCTTTTGGTCCACGTCGGATTCCATGTGGTTGAGTTGTTGTAGAGAATATGAATGATGAACACGAGATTCAAAATGATCGACACTGTAACAAGGAGCTTCTTCTCCATTGTCTTTACTTAAACCTGCAAAAAAGCTTTAAGCCTTGAAATTTTTATGTGCTCATGTATAAATGTCACTAGTAGAGATTCCAGGCTACTAGTAAATATTATATTAGTGGGGGATCAATTATCAATCACTAAGGAATAAAAAAAATGTTAAATACTCTGATAAGAATTGAGTGAGACTGCTCTGTTTGTTATCATTTGTTACACAAATTAACTCACCATTAATTATCATATATACATTAGTGGTGTTTAAATTGTTTATTACGCAACTTTAGAAGTTATAACGTCCACATAAGGTTGATGTTTAAGTAACTATCCAGTTTTAAGATCTGATCTAAGCCTTTCAAAATATTGCTAGTACTTATAAATTTGAAGATAGCAAACAAAAATCAAAATTAAAATAATGAATTACCCAAAAATATTTAATTTAGATTACAATTGTGGAGGTTGATCGAACAAAAGAGGATTAAGACAGATACGTAGAGAATCTGAATTACTTCAGTGCTTCACCTTCACAGAAAACATCAAAGAGACAAGAGTGATGTAGACACAAAAGGTAGAATCTAACTGTTTAAGTCTTATAACTCTTTTGGCTTTTTCTGATTTGAAAGAATCTGCTTTGTCTTTTCCAAAACTCCAAAGAAAATTGAACCTCCAATTCCTATCCATAGTACTCTTGGACCCATTCCCTACATACAGAGTCTCAGACTTGTCAACAACTTTGCAAAAACATGAGAAACATGTCAACAACTTTGGGATCATAATGCCTAAGAAACTTGGATGTGGTAAGATGAGAAATTGATTCACCTTCCACAAAGCTGATGACCCTTCTTCTCTTAATATCGTCTTAACGCAATCCGAAACTCCTTTATACTGATTTCCTGCGCCCTGCCAGAATTCAAAAACGAAAAATGTCGGTACTATATTACTGGAGCTTCTTATTCTCCTGTGAAATGCATGCAAGAAGAGCATGTTGCTCTTATCAGTAATTTGTGCATTAATCATTTTGACATACCTGAACCATTAATCTGGTTTTGATTACATCTAGAGGAGTGGTCAAGACTCCAGTGACAGCACCAGCAAAGGCACCAAGCATTGCGTTCTCTGGATCATTTAAATCTCTTCTCGCCTGTTCTAAACATGTGGGATATCTCACTGTCATTAGTCAACAGAATCAGATGGTTTTTTTCACTGATCAATGTAGCCACAACAAACTTACAGCTAGCTTGTATCCAATCCGTAATTGCTCATATACGCAAAACTGAAGCGCGTCAAAAGGCAAATCTCGCAACAAGAAAGATCCAAAACCCTACATGTTTGGAAAAAATAAGATGAAAAGATTTGATGGAGCTTTTATTGTTTGCCCATATTTAACGAGTGATTCATTGAACTACAAACTCAAGTAGTGCCTGCTCCAAAGAAAATAGTAAACCAGTAGAATCATAAATCAAGAAGTAACATTTGTACCGCATACATGCCTCCAAAGCCTTCCTTGACTACAATAAGGCGAACAGCGTCAGGGGCCGAAGCAAATTGTCCAGTTTGCATTCGCTGTTTAACAACCTGTTGAAAGTCTCCATTAGCTTAAACAAGCATATAACCAATACAGAATAATAAAGCAAATAAACAAGAAGAAAGAAGCTTACTTCTGTTGGCACACGAACAATAGAAGAAACAGCACCTCCTAAAGCACCTGCAGCCTGATTAAGCTTATATAACTCGCTAAGACATACTGTATATCCTTTTTTCACAAAGCATATTAGATTCTAAGGGCCTCTATCTCAAATCAGTAGGTTTTAAAACTATATGCTAGCAAGACTAATGTATAAAGCCCGAGTTCTATAAAAATTTAAACTGCAAAATCTCTGGCAGACAAACAAATCTTAATTCACTATTAGGATTATGTTAAGTTTATACATACCAAATGTGCAACCGCACTAAGCTTTTCGGGTAAAACCTCTAGCAGCTTCTGTTTGGTTGGTTCATATACACCGAAAAATAAGGCGGAAGCACTGCACATAAAGAAAAACATTATTCACTAAAAGAAGAGAGTCATGAGCGTTTCAACTTGCTTGCATGCCTTTTTCTTCTTTTCCTTTTGATTATAAATACTTACGGTAAGACACCAGCAAGGTTTCCACCAAGACCAGAGTATAGCCCCTTCCATATTATCTTTCCTCCATCTCGAGCTACCTAAACATGTCAAACCAAATATATAGTCAGTCAAACATTGACATCTCCATGTAAGTAAAGAAACGTTATGAATAAATCTAGGCCATAGTAGTACTCTCCCAGTAATTACATTACCTCAAAAGGATGTAAGATCATAACACAAAGTGATGTGAGGAGAAACATACCTGTACTCGAGTTTTAATTGTATCAATCGGGTATAGAGCAGCTTCCACAACAAGACCAGCTATCCCTCCTGCGATCAGGCTCTCTGAAAACAACATAACAAAAAATTTGGTATTCCTTTGGACAGGTGCATTCAGATGTGTTTGCAACCATACCATAAAGCACACGCAAGAAATGGCATGGATCCTCTTGTTTTACACAGATTGTGCCACAACCACTGATCTGCTTCTTGTTAAGATGATTGATATTCTTGAATGCCAATGCATCTACAAGGAACATAAACATAACCAATCAATAGAAGGTATCAAAAAAGACATGGGTTCACTAGACTTGGCTAATTTGTCTTAATCACAAGATAACCCATTTCAAGGAATTACGAAACAATCAGAAGATACTCTAAAATTCTTTGAGTTGATCTAACCACTTTATTTCGTAATCTTACAGAACAAAAACAGTAATCTTGTTCTTGTGTTGTATTGGTCATTTAATTTCAATTCGAAACAGCAATGGTAGCACAAAAATTTAGAACTTCTGAGCACAAAATAACACGAAAACGTAAATTTGCAGCGTCCGAATCGATCAGAGAAAGGGAAATTCGTGAGACAACGGTTGATTAGAAGGAGAGAATTTACCAGGGAAAGCTGTCTGAGATTGATCTCCGTTACTGGAGACACGATCCATCTAAAACCATTAGAAGAAACAAAAATCAAAATCAAGCTGAAGAAGAGATCACATTCAGAAGCAGATTAAATCATACGTTAGAAGATGAAGATCTAAAACCCAAAAATGACAGAGCGAGCGAGCTAGAGAGAGAGAGTGGCAGAGGGAATTTCGTCATAAACCCTCCAAAAAGCAAAAAAAAATTGCTATTGAAACCGAGACCCACCGAACCGAACCAATCGGTTCGACCGGTTAAATCAAAATCAACAACATATATTAAATCCACATCTTCATTTTTTCTCCAATTTCCAGAGCTATCTGCAATTTTCATGGTAAGATTCTTCTTCATCTTCTTCCCTTTATTTTCTTCTTAAGGTCAATCGAAATTCATCATTCACTCGAACCGAGACTTGTCGTTTTTTTTGGTATGAATCGTGAGACTTGTGTCTTTACTCTTTAGTAATGCTCAAGATTCAGTAAATTTACTAAAATGTTGAGAAATTCAAGCTCATCTTTGGTTTGATCTTTTAATGCAACTTAAAAAAAACCAGAGTAGCTTTCACATTTCGGAAGTCTGGGTAAGGTTCCATCATCCATTTGTTAAAAATTACCAGAAAATGATTAACTTTATCTGAGATTGAATTGTAATGTTGCAATTAAACATAATTAAACTCCTCTTATTTAGGGTTTTAGCTTTAAGACAGGAGCCTAAAATTTCGGGAAAAAATGAACATATAAGATTATGCATTTGACGGCTTTTATAAGATTCGGGTCAATTCGATCTTGTTCTTTTGCTTTGTTTTCTCATTTTAATTTTAATTTATAAACGCAAATGTTTCGTAAAGCAGAGAGCTTTTGTCGTAGCTTCTTACAGAGATCACAAAAAGATCGAAGAGAGAGCAAACAAATGGGCGTAGGAGTGTTGGGTTTAATCCCGATTTCATCACCAGACAGTCTAAAGAAAGTACTTCAAACACTGTCGGGAAAATGGGGAGACGTAGTGGAAGATCTCGAGAGTCTACAAGTGAGACCCATGAAAGGTGCAATGACCAACGAAGTTTTCATGGTGAATTGGCCCACAAAGGAAAACACTTTTCACCATAGGAAGCTTCTCGTTCGAGTTTATGGCCAAGGGGTTGATCTGTTCTTCGACAGGAAAGACGAGATTCGTACGTTCGAAGTTGTCTCTCGATATGGTCACGGTCCTAGACTCCTTGGCCGGTTCGCTGGCGGTCGAATCGAGGAGTTTATCAATGCCCGGGTATGTTCGGTTCCTTGTACATTCCGGTTTATTTGTGCAATAACGCAATGACAGTGTCTGGTCTGGTTTTGACTTTTGAGTATGAGGAGATAGTATCTGATATTAGGATTTTGGGTCATCGTTGAACCGGAAAATACCAATAGAGGTATGCCCGGTTTAGTTGTCTATTGTATGAGATGCTCTGAGTCTTGATGGACATTTTGATTTTTAATTTTGAACAGACTTTATCGGCTAAGGATCTTCGTGACCCGGAAGTATCTGCTCTTGTTGCGGCTAAGCTAAGAGAATTTCACGGTATAAACATTCCTGGTGAAAGAAATGTGCTCCTTTGGGATAGTATGAGGTAAGTAAAGTAAATCTTTCTCCATATTATGAAGCATGAATGGTCAAAAGCAATGACATAATCTTGGAAACACATGGCAGGAATTGGCTAGGACAAGCCAAGAGTTTGTGTACACCTGAAGATGCAGCAGAGTTTGGTCTAGACAACATGGAAGCCGAGATTGACTTGCTGGAACATGAGCTGCAGTATAAGCAGGAGGAGATTGGGTTTTGTCACAATGATTTGCAGTACGGTAACATCATGATTGATGAAAACACCAATGCCATTACTATCATTGTGAGTTAGTTTCTCACATTACCCTTTCAAAATAATATCATCCTATCACACATGGACCAACTTGAGATTCTTTCTAACAGGACTACGAGTATGCTAGTTATAACCCAGTTGCATACGACATAGCAAATCACTTCTGTGAAATGGCGGCAAACTACCATTCTGACACTCCCCATGTCTTGGACTACACTCTATACCCAGGTACTCACTGGTTAACCCGGTTTGGGATCATCGAGAAGTCGAAAAGTGACATGGTTCTGACTGATTTGGTTTTGGGAATTGCAGGAGAAGAGGAACGGAGGAGATTCATTCATAACTATCTCAGCTCTTCAGGTCAGATTCTTAAAGAATCAAAGCTCCTTCTTCTTCTAGTCATTACAACGTCTCATGGACCAATACGTCTTCTTCTTTTTCTTAGGTGAAGAACCAAAGGAAGAAGACATAAAACAGCTCTTGGAAGATGCTGAGAAGTACACATTGGCAAGTCATCTCTTCTGGGGCTTATGGGGAATCATCTCTGTAAGATCTTTTCGTATCTTTTTCATGTAAGAGAGCGATCTGAGAAGTTGTTCTGAAATGTCAATGTGATTGCGCAGGGATATGTGAACAACATCGAGTTCGATTACGCTGGGTACTCAAGACAGAGATTCAAACAGTACTGGCTTCGAAAACTCGAGCTCTTGTTTTCAAACACTAAATAATGTAATGCAAAGTTGTAACCAAAATCTAAAACCAAATCAAGAAGTCAAGCTTAGAACCTTGTTGAAACCAACTCTCTGATCTCTGAAACCCAAAAGCAAGAATGTTTCCAAATTGTAATTGAATACGACAAGAACTCAAACTAGTGCATTGATACTTCTAAATATGTACAAGAAAATCAAAACCTGCCAACAAATTCTCTTACAGTTTGACTTAAACCAAGAACACAAATGCTAGTTAAGAAGTCAAGATTAGAAACCAACTCTAATCTCTAAAAACCAAAAGCTGAATGTTTCCAAATTGTAATTGAATACGACAAGAATTCAAACTAGTACATTGATACTTCTAATAATATACAAGAAGCCAACAAATTCTAAACCAGTTTGACCTAAATCAAGAAACAAGATCAAGAAGAAGTAACGAACAATCAATCACAGATGGTTATGAAGAAGAAGGCTTTATAAGAGGCTGCGATGTTTTACCCCATTCCTCGGGACTACACTTAACCTCCCTTAACAAAGCCACAACTTCCTTCATCTTCGGTCTCTCCACAGGCGAAGGATTCACACAGAACATCGCGATCCCAAGTGTCTGAAGCATCACCGCTCGACGGAATAAGCGCTTGCGATGGAATAAGCGCTAGGGTTTGCGATAGAGAACAAACCAAATCCTTAGCTAATTTTCGCTTGCGATGAGAGTCGAAGAAACGATCTTGCTTGCTTGCTGAAGAGAGTAGCCTTTTGGCGCGAATGATTCCGTTTTTTATTTTGTGACGTTTTAACAACCATCAGTCTCCTTCTAAGGCTTCAGCAATCCATTGGGCCCAATAAAACCCATTATCACTGAAAACCCAGTAAATAGAGGTCAAGAAAAGGCCCAATAAGAGACATTTAACTCTAAAACCCTTAGACACACAGAGCATCAAAACTCAATTTCTTCCAATTATCCAAGCTCCTCCGTGATCGCACAATCCGCAAAGGTTTCACATTTTCGCCTTGTTTTAACCCAATTTATCTGCGTATTCCTATTTCTTGTATAGAGATCTATGGCGAGTGTGACGATGAGGTAGAGGGTCAGCCAAGAAAAGAACCTGAAACATCCAAGAAAGAGCCAAAGAAATCCTCACATGACAATGAAAGTATGTCCAAGGTAATAATAATAATTCAAACACTTACTTTGGCTTACACATATCTTCAGACTGTCGTAAATCTCCTCTGATATATTCGATCTTCGTATTGTTGTAAATTCTCCTCTAATATATTCCATGGTTCATTCATATACATATATATATATTAGAGACTGATCTATTACAATAATTTTTTATAAAAAATAAAAAATAAGTGCTATCTGCAAAGTGGCAATCTGACAAGGGAACAGAAAAAAGTGAAAGATAGCTACTTATTCTGCTGTGAGAATTTCTACAGTCTTCCCGAAATGATCAATTACATGAAGGAGAATCACGGTTTACCAAAGACAACTGTGACGAATGTTTTTAAGGAACTCTTGAAAAGCAAAAATGCGGAAGCATATCTGAGGGTATCACAGAAAAGATCTCTACAAAGGGTAACTCTACAGAGGAGGACTAGTGGAACAGGCGTTGCTTCTTCTTCCACTAAGTAATGCTTTTCAAGAACCAAACCAGAATACCCACCAGAAGATATACATGTCCAGTAATCTTTTTCATTCTGGTAGTATATTTTTAATAACAATAGTTATGTTTTTTTGCTTCGGAGAACTGGTCATCCTTGGAACCAACTCTTTCATTTTCCCATTTCGGAAGTCAAATGATTCAATCTCTTTGTTTCTGCTTGTTTTACAAATTTTAAATGAATGAAAAGCCAAAAAGAGGCAATATGAATTGCCCAACAAAGTCTCTCGTCATTACCTTGCCTTACTTATTCTAATATTTAATATCTTATTTGTTTCGAGTTTGGACTTGTCAACGATTTTGGGATCATAATGCCTAAGAAACTTTGAATGTGGTATGAGAAATGGATTCACCTTCCACAAAGCTGATGATCCTTCTTCTCTTAATATCGTCTTAACGCAATCCGAAACTCCTTTATACTGATTTCCTGCGCCCTACCAGAACTCAAAACAAAATAAGTCTCCTGCATATAAAGAATCAAAGCTCCTACTTCTTCTAGTCATAACAACGTCTCATGTGCCAATACGTCTTCTTCTTTTTGTTAGGTGAAGAACCAAAGGAAGAAGACATAAAACAGCTCTTGGATGATGCTGAGAAGTACACATTGGCAAGTCATCTCTTCTGGGGCTTATGGGGAATCATCTCTGTAAGAACTTTTCGTATCTTTGTCATGTAAGAGAGCGATCTGAGAAATTGTTCTGAAATGTCAATGTGATTGCGCAGGGATATGTGAACAAGATCGAGTTCGATTACGCTGAGTACTCAAGACAGAGATTCAAACAGTACTGGCTTCGAAAACCCGAGCTCTTGCCTTCCTTCTCGTCTCAGATGTTTGAATAAATCTTGTTTTCAAACACCAAATAATGTAATGCAAAGTTGTAACCAATATCTAAAACCAATGCTAATCAAGAAGTAAGCTTAGAACACTATTGAAACCAACTCTCTGATCTCTGAAACCCAAAAGCAAGAATGTTCCCAAATTGTAATTGAATACAACAAGAACTCAAACTAGTACATTGATACTTCTAATTATATACAAGAAATCAAAACCTGCCAACAAATTCTCAACCAGTTTGACCTAATTCAAGAAACAAGATCGAGAAGGAGTAACGAACAATCAATCACAGATGGTTATGAAGAAGAAGGCTTTATAAGAGGCTGCGAAGTTTTACCCCATTCCTCTGGACTACACTTAACCTCCATTAACAAAGCCACAACTTCCTTCATCGTCGGTCTCTCCACAGGAGACGGATTCACACAGAACATCGCGATCCCAAGTGTCTGAAGCATCTCCTGAACGATCTGGTCTGGTAAACCTTGGAGCTTCACGTCAAGCACCGATAAAGCCGGCTCGAAGCTTCCCATCTTCTTCTTCACCCATTCCACTATGTGAAGCCCGTCGCCGATCTGTGGCTGCACGGCGCTCCGGCCACTCAGAATCTCCAGCAAAACGACGCCGTAACTGTACACGTCACTCTTCTCTGTTATGTTCATCGTGTATCCGTATTCTGCATAATTTCACAAAAGAAACCCTGAGCTTTTACAAATTGTTCAATAAATGATTTTATGAAATTGGAAAATCGAACCAAACCTTTTAAACCGGATTACCAGCCACTACCAAAGAAAGAGAAGAAACAAAACTTGCCTGGTGCGATGTAGCCATAAGAGCCAGCGACTCGAGACATGGCGGTGTGATAATTCGGCGAATTCATCAGCTTCGCGAGTCCAAAATCCGCGAGGATCGCTTCGTATTTGGAATCCAGAAGAATGTTATTGCATTTCACGTCTCTGTGGATAATCGCCGGAACGCAATCGTGGTGGAGATAAGCGAGACCCTGAGCGGATCCGATCGCGATCTTGTACCGAGTTTCCCAATCCAAGTTTCTGTTTCCTTGAAGCAATTGCTGGAGATTCCCATTGGGAAAGTAATTGTAGAGAAGCAGCTTCACCGATTTATTCGAACAGTAACCCAAAAGCTTCACGATGTTTCTGTGCCTGATGTTACCCAGAATCTGGATCTCCGCCGCGAATGAATCGATCGCCGCGTGTTCTCCTCCTTCGTCGTTGTCTTTAGTTTTCCAGAGCTTCTTCACCGCGATGATCTCTCCGTTTGGCATTTCCGCTCTGTAAACGACTCCCGAACAGCCTTTCCCGATCACGTTCTCGTCTATCAAGCAATTCACAATGTTGTTGACGCTGATACCGAGTTTCTGAAACGGAATGAATGTCCATGGGTACGAGAAATCTTCTGCTGTCGATTGAGAAGAAGAAGAAGATATCATCGCTGATTTCTGAGTTGAGTAGCGGTGGTTGTTGCGTAAGACGAGAAGCCAAGCGGCGAGAATGGCGATGGTGATTGAAGCGAGGATTACAGCGATTAAAGCTACGATCTTTGGGGATCTGACTCCATTGCTTTGACCAGTGTGTGATGAGCAAGTTATACCGTCGATTGAGTGGCATAGATTGGTGTTCTGGAGATAAGAACTTGCGGAGATCGTTTTGAAGAACGGTGTAGCTGGGATAGGACCAGAGAAGTTGTTGCAGGAGATGTTGAGAGAAGCTAGGCTCGTGAGGGAACCGAGGACTTTGATGTCGCCGTGAAGCATATTGCGTGAGAGATCGAGCGATTGCAACTGCGTGAGGCCAGCGAAGGTTTCAGGGATGTCTCCTGTGAAGGCATTGTAGCTCAAATCCAGATTTATAGTCAAGCTTGTGACTTGACCGAGTTCCTGTGGGATTTCACCAGATAAACTGTTGAAGCTTAGATCAAGAAGTGTAAGCTTCTGCAGGTTCTTTATGGATTTAGGGATCTGGCCAGAGAGGAGGTTGTTGTTGAGGATCAGCTTGTTCAAGTAACTGAAGTTGCCGAAACTCAGAGGTATGTTTCCGGTGAAGCTGTTTCTGCTCAGATCAAGCTGCTCCAGATTCACAAGGTTCCCTAGCTGAGCAGGAATATCTCCGGTGATGTAGTTGTTGTGCACATCTAAGAGCTCAAGCACAGTGATGTTAGAGATCTCGTAAGGAAATCCACCAGAGAAATGGTTCATGTAGAGATCAAGAAACACCAGGTTCTGTAACTCGCCTATCTCTTTAGGGACCTGACCTGAAAGTTGGTTCTCTCCGAGTCTTAGCCTCACAAGCGACTGGCATTTTGCTACGCTCTTTGGTAATCCACCTGATAAGGAGTTTCCTAGAAGGAGAAGTTTGCTGAGCCGCTTTAAACTGAAGAGCTCTTCTGGGATTCTTCCTGTTAGCTTGTTCCTAGAGAGGTCCAGGGCGATTAGGTCCGTGCAGTTGCCAAAAGAAGACGGAATTGTTCCTGAAACCGAGTTTTCCCACAAGAAAAAGCTCTGCAGAGACTTCAGGTTTCCGATTTCGGAGGGTATGGAGCCTGATAACTTGTTCTTGTCCAGCTGAAGAGCAATGAGGCTTGAACAGTTGCTTAGTTCCCAAGGAATCTGACCCGTGAACATATTATCTGACAACTGAAGCTGCTCTAACCAGACAAGCTTCCCCAAATCTCCAGGAATCTCACCGGATAGATCGTTGGCCGAAACATCAAACACCACGAGGGAAGAACAGTTGGAAATCTCAGGTGGGATGACTCCAGATAAAGAATTCCCCCATAGAAGCAAGCTTGTGATCTTCTGGAGCTTACCCAGTTCCTTTGGGATGGATCCAGTGAGCTTGTTCATGTGGAGGTACAAGTTCCTGAGCTCTGAGCACAAACCCAGTTGAGGTGGAATAGTACCAGAGACCTCAGTGTCATACAGAGCCAATGTTTGCAAATTTACCAAGTTTCCAAAAGTGGAAGGGATTTGACCTGACAAACCAGTGGCTGCAAACCCTAGAGTTGTCAAATTCGTCAGAAGCCCTAGCTGGGCAGGGATAGGTCCTCCGAGATTAGGGTTACCACCAAGCCTGAACTGCTGAAGAGAGACCAAAGAGCCTAAACTTGAAGGAATCGAACCATTCAACAGATTGTCCTGAAGACAAAGAACTTGCAGAGAAAAGAGATTTGAAATCTGTGAAGGGATTGATCCAGAGAGCTTGTTGGCATTCAAGATAAGGAACTGGAGAGAAGAGAGGCGGCCAAGCTCTGATGGGACTGGACCAGAGAGAGAGTTTGAAGAAAGGTCGAGAAGCCTGAGGTGGGTGAGTTTTCCAAATGAAGGAGGGATTGGGCCAGAGAGGTTTGTGGAGGAGAGGTTTAGGAACTGTAGAGAGGAGAGAGAAGATAGGTCTGGGATTGAAGACAGGTTAAGGAAAGTGTCGGGGATAGAGACAGAAATCACTCTGTTGTCTGCAGAACATGTAATGCCGTACCATGAACATGGTGTCTGGTCTAGCGGGTCCCATGAGGAGAATAGTGATGAAGAAGAGGATGGTGATTGTCTCTTGAGAGAGAGAAGAGCTTGGCCATCTGATGAAAGAGAAAGAGTGGGTTGGGCCATGGAGACCCATGAACAACAAAAGAACAAGAATAAGAAGAAAAGATTCAACTGTTTGCTGCTACAATCGAAAGATTTCCACTTTAAAATGAAAAAATGGTTGAAAGGACATAAACTGGTGAAATGGTTTGGTTCTTTCTCCATCTTTGGTAATGGAATGATTGGAGATTCAATTGGTGGTGGTGGTGTAATGGAAGATGAGGAAAGAAAAGAAAAGCTCTCTTATCTTTTTCTTTTGTTGAACCTTGAGGAGACAAGAAGCATGTGCAGGGGCTTTGCTTTCTGATTGCTTAGGGTTTACACTAAACCATTGCAGAACAAGAACAGCAAGAACAATAACTGTAGATAATAACCATGTGAAGTTAAGAGTGAGGTCTTCACACTTCATGGATAAACTCTCTGGCCGGGGGGAAAAAAGATTGAAATTTTACCCGGCGACGGTGGTGGTAATGGTGGCTGCGGCGGAGCTAAGAGGTTGATGAAGGCGACGTTGGAGTTTGAGTCTCACTTTTTCTCTCTCTGTCACTTTCTTCTCGTTTATGGTTGTTTGCCTTGGGAAGACTAATTATAATAAGATTGAATACTCAAAGCTCTTATTATATTATAAGTTTTTAAACTATTATAGTGCAGTGATTTAGGCGCCACCGGATTTTCTTCCGTTTTTTCGTGGATGTGTGTGCAATGTTTATACAAGTTGTATCTATATAGACACTACATGCAATACTTTCTGAAAATATTCACTCTATATTTCTACAATAAACAACTCTGTAAATTTAAAACCAAGGTTTATAATTAAGTCTTCCTTCCAAAAATCGAGGTTAATTATTATGCTTTGCTTTTTATAAAGTTATTCACGGACCAATAATTTTGTAGAAATTTTAAGTGTATCAGTTTTGTTTTGTTTGAATCCACACCAGTTTCAATAAACCATTAATACATAGGATTGTAATACATTTAGTCATCAGGATGGAATTTCCTTGTTACCAATATATATATATAGAAAAATTACTATGAGTCAATATTACACAAAAAGAAAGAGAAAAAAAATTTCAACAAGCACAGTATCAAAGCTAATACCCATATTTACTCACATGTTCGATTTCTTAACGTCTATGTATTATAGATTTATCTAGGATAAAACGAAGAAAACTTAAAAGTTTTCATGTTTCAAGATAAATAGAATATGTTATGGATTTTTAAAGAAATGATGTCAGTTGTAACGTATAAGCAACTGAGTTATTATATTTGTATGTATATAATGTTACATCCACACGTATATTAGTGGTTTTAGGGTGTGATGATAAAATCAAACCACGAAGCAATGTAGCTAACAAAGTAACAATGCATGTTATAGCTCTTGTCTTCTTCTCCCATTTTCTTCTCCCTTTGTCGGCTGCTCCCAGCCGTTGGATCTTCTTACTCTCTCTCTTTTGACTCTATAAGTAGATCAACCCATACTCAACGAGATGATAAAAAAGTGATACTGTGCTAATTGGTTGCACCGTATGTATGGATTGTTTATATTGGGCAAACTGATCTATGTTCACTAGGTGATTACATTTGATATGTTTAGATAAAAATTCGATTATAGTAATAACCTTTTTAATAAAATTTACAAAACTGAATGTTGTAATAAACTTGGATGACACTTACTATGACGTAGAGAGTATGATATATACTCAAGTACAAGAAAATGATAAAGTATAATAGAAAATTAACATCGTAATTTGTTATTCATTTGGTGAACGTGAACCAGATAGGTTTTTTATTTATTTATAAAATTAGACTTTTGTTATTAATTATTTCACATCGAAAGTTAGAAATAACATAAAGTAATATGTAAACCAGAATATCAATGAATTTAAACAGAATAGACTTTCATAAAATTTAACATGGTATCAGTTGAGATATGGACTTATGTTCTTTGAAAAAGATTGGTGGATGTGAATGGTTTTGTAGTTCGGTTTAATTAATATTCTTGGTTTATTAGCGGTTTGAGTTTTATTTTTATTGTTTTTCGATTCCCTTTCACAGATTTTGTCTAGAAAACATATACTTTCCGTCTGCTTTGTTTTTCTTTTTTTAAGTGTTTGATTTCTTGTGATGAAGACTTTCTAAGGTTTGATGATAAAAAATTCAGACGGAAAGAAACGAATAAACTAAATTGGAGTATATGAGTTGGGAACACACAAGTGATGAGAGGCAGCATGGGACACGGTGAAAGTTAAAAACTCAAAAAAATGAGTTTGGAGGGAAGCCCCTTTTGTTTGTGTCGTCTTTCTTTGATTATGGGATGGGTTTTTTTTCCTCTTTACATGTCGATTGATTAAAGAAACTGTCGTAAGCCTAAAAAAACTATAATTAGTTAAAACGATACGTAAAAATCATAATTACATTACCAAGACAAAGGAGGTGGGTGCGTTTTGGGAGGTGAGCAGCATCAAATATTGTTTATATAAAAAAAACTCTCACATGAAGGAGAGAGGCATTAATGTAAAATATAATTTAGATTTTGACCTCTTTTTACTCCCCATTTAAAATTTTATACATACGATAAGTTGATAAGAGATACCTTTGCTTTAAAGAATTTGTTTTCAGTAAAATAATTATCCGACGTAGTTAGTTCAATCAGTGTACTAGATATGTAGCCACCCAAAGAATGACAATATGTAGCCACCCAAAGAATGACAATATGTAGCCACCCAAAGAACCAAAATACAAATACTGAAGTCTTGTGATATGACTTACCTAATCTTCTCCTAAGAACACTAGTAGTACGTATACTCTCAAACGCTAATACACAAATAAGAAAAAACGAGAATTTTTCTGTGTATGGAAGAATTATATTTTCAAATATACCTTTATATAGAAAATGACTAGCCAAATCTCATCATGTTTTTGGTTAGACTTGGGTATTATTCCCGGGCCTAAGGACTCGAACCGGAACCAGCCCAAAAAATCGGTTCAGATTGGTTTCGGATATTGCCATATAACTGGATGCATCCTGAAGCTTATACTCGTGGGTATTGGTTCGGTTCTGGATATTACTCGTGACCTAACTCCTAATGGTGAAGCTGTGAATCTGGATTTTGGTAAGGTCTCAGAACATGTGGTTAGGGAAGGTACTAATGAGATGCTTGTCTTAGCAGAATTCCCATTATCGTTCATCGAGAACTTAGCTTAAAGACAATTTTACATCAAAAGTTCAATTATACCCTCTCATTCTCGGAGAACCGCCACAAGAGACATTGTGGCGATGTATGTGGTAAAAAAAGTACCTATGAAAAAGATTCTTGAGCAGAAAAAGCAGAGGGTGTCATTGACAACAGATATATGGACAGCTCCCTTTACCAACGCTAGTTACATGGTAATAACATGTTATTTTATTGATGCTAATTGGCAGTGGAGGAAGTTGATCATAGGTTTTAAGAATGTGTTCGATCATAAAAAAAATAACCGGAGAAGAATGAATCACGATATAAGTATATAACTATGACTTGATCACGTATTTGAATAGAGAATATATTATGCTTTGACCAATTCAAAATCGATAACATATTTCAGAATGGATTTAGCTTTCTTGTCATCAAACACAAAAGATCAACATGAATATGGTATACACAAATAAGCTCATGGACATAATTCCTAATTAACAAATCAAATTCAAATATTCTATTTGAGGTTTGTACCACTTTTGATATTTTTAAAAAAGATTTGAAGTTTTTCAAGATTTTCATGTTATTCATCACAATGTCGATACATGAGGACACTATATTATGGTGCTCATAGCTACAATTCCTTCCCAAAATCAGGTCATTTCGACAAACCTCTCCACCAAAAACTAACCAAAAAATTTGATCAAAACTATTTCGTCAAAAATGACTACCAACATGGTCATGTGGGATTGATTGGATCCTTAATCTATAGTTTAGAATCTTTTGATGGTGATCAGGACATAATCACGAAATGTTTCTGAGCTGTGTAATCTGAGTAATATTAACTTAGAGGTTGACTGCCAATTCAATAATTGATTTAAGCCATGAATTAGCATGGCAACCAATTCTCGACCTTTGGGAACTCAGTGAATTCTTCGGTCTGTGTGTTCTAATTCCCATATTTTTATTTATACGTAATAAACAAGTCAAGTTTAACTTAACCTTGACCTTTGGGAGTATTTTTTACTGGTTATATACCTTCGAAAAGATAGACTGTTTAGTGGTAATAAATATGTCTCTAACATAGGGAGAAAAAAAGAGGTCTCCACCAATTCAACAAAATGTTATTTTACAAGTAGGTTAGCTGGAGCAACCATTAATTAGCGGCCGCGTTAAAGCATTTTGCTTTTGGAGCGTGGATACTGACAAAATAGCTATACTTGTTAATACGCTTGGTTAAATAATTAGTTACCCTAGTAGTATGTTCACATTAGCTACACTTGTTAATACGTTTAGCTAAATAATTAGTACGTATACTACTAGGATTCTGATTGGGGATAACACACATCAAAAGGGTTTTCAATAGTTTGTATTTTGGGATTCTATTTGTTTGTTGTAGAACCATCACCTTACGGACGAATTGAATAATGAAATAATCAAATTTTGACTTTGTCATTTTGTCATTTTTTTCCTTATTCTTCGGTATATACTTTTATAATTTTTTATCGTTGTATATTAATAATTTTTTCCTTAGAATTCCAGTTTTCCGAATTTGTACATTACAGTTACATCAGAACGTTACTTTACGATAAAAGCTGAAGGATCCGATAATCATGGATAAATCCATCAAGATCATTGATTACCCTTGGAATAATCTGATCAGCCAAATATGGCCAAGAAAGAGATAACCAGATTCGAACCCAAGTTATTATCTCATCTATCATTTGCTGGTCAATTTGGAATTTATAATTAGATTTCATTTTGGCTTCGCGCGCTACCAACTATAAGAACTATGTAGGAGAGAGTATTATACAGATTCTTTTGTGTTTAGTTTTGCACTACAAAAAATTGTGTGTTTTACATCATTTAGTTTGTGTAACATAAATGAAATGATTTTGTTTTGAATTACTTATAGTAAATGATATAATAATACATCAGTTATTTTATTTGATTTAATTTGACATCATATAATCACAATTGATACAAAACTCTTTCATTTTGCATTATTTGAATCACTTAAAAAATATATTCACATCAGTTAATATCATCGATATGTTTATTATTTTTTCTGGCATCACTTTAAAAAATGATTCACTTTTACATCACTTTAAAAGTGTATTTTACATCACTTAAATTGCATCACAAATGATTTTACATCACCCTAATGATTGCATGTTATGTTGGGAGGATGATGCAGAAAGACAAACTTGCAAAATTTGTGAAGCTTCTCGATGGAAAATAAATACAGCAAAGAATTTGATGCCTGGATCAGAAAGTAGGAAAAAAAAGCTCATGCAAAATTTTAACGTTATTTTCCTTTGAAAACACGGTTGCAACGTCTATTTATGTCATCAAAAACTGCTAGCCATATGAGATGGCATGTAACTGCTAGTAGTAATGATGGTAAACTTCGACATCCAAGAGACAGATGTACTTGGTAGGCATTTGATCAAAATATCCTGAGTTTGCATCTGATCCAATAAATGTTAGACTCGGTTTGGCTACTGATGGTTTTAATCCATTCGGTACGATGAGTTCTAGATACAGCATTAGGCCAGTGGTTTTATTTCCTTATAAT